ATATACATATATACACATATATATACACATATACATATATACACATATATATACACATATACATACATATATATACACATATACACACATATACACATATAGTTACCGTTGATTTAATTATGTAAATTATTTAAATAAGCCCGAGAAAGTAATCTACAAAATAAATCAAATCTCATTTTACACGAGCAATGTTTATGCTAATGTTGACACGTTTCCAGGGTTTCCTTCACCCTTTTGAACCCTGAGTGTGGCACATTTTATGTTACAGTGGACAGCTAATAGCTATATGCTAGCTATTCACTGTTAGCGGTGATAGCATGAACAACTAAACAAACAATTGCATCACCGTCCTGCTCATCCAATGCACAGGCCACCATGCACATTTTACACCCATTTGATACATTATTAATTTGTTCAATCTGTACCATTTTTAACCATGTTGGTTATACTGAACCTAGCATTTAGCTGAAACCACCACTGTGCCACAGAACAGCCTCAAAGAGCCTCCGGCATGGCCACACACAGTCTTGTTTAAAGCATTCTTTATTAGTTTACAGAGGCAGGGGCAATTCCAGGATTTTTTATATGAGCGGACCTCGGCACATAAGCCATCATATCTCAGTTGTCATTTAGAATTAATATTTTGTTCCCTAACCTTCATTACAGTAAATGCGTTCTTGATGTATTGTTTTATCTACATCCTATTCTTTATTACTGCAGTGGTCAAGTATCCCTGCAAGCAAGTTTAACCTCATTTAAAATACATTCATAAAACACTTATGACCTTCTCAGGTTCAGGCATCTGAAGTTATTATAGGTAATACACTTGTGAATTAAATAATGCAGATAGTTCTTCAAGGCCAAGATGAAAATTTGCAATGTGAGAAACACAAAAAGCCCTGTCTGCATTTTGATGACAAAGGTATAAGCAACTAGCACTGATTGGCATTAACTATATCTTCACCTGGCATGTCCCATTTCTCATCAAGTTAAGTACTTTGCAGACATTGACAGTGCACGTCACACTCGCAACACCAGGATGTACAGAATAACGACACCTGCACACGAGATTGATGGATTAATTCATGCTGAGAAGATGCAGCAAAGCACAGCTCTCTCCTCACCTCTGACATTCAGACAGCTCCTCCTCCGGATTTTTCCCTCGCGGTCCAGCACCGTGTAGCTGCCCTCGTCCGCCATCCTGACCACGTGCAGCATCACCCGTTTCTCCGACATGCTGAGACGCTCTGCGTATTCCTCTGCCGGCCCTGCCGTCTGGTTGTACAGCACCACTGGTGGAGGCTCTGTTGCGTGACGTATCTCAGTCTGGTTGGCATGAACCAGACTGGGCCTTATAGGAGAAGAGAAGAAAGTCAACGTTACCTCAACTAGCACACAAGCAATCAGTGTACATCCTGTTCAACCAATCAGCGATGTCTCAGCAGGTGTTTTACCTCTAATTGCTCATTAAAAACACCTGCCGTGACATCACTGATTGGTGGGGTGTGGTCAACATTTTTACCTTACAATGCAACAGATGCAAAGTATAAAAACAATCTCCATGCTGAATACAGATTACTGAATCGTGTTCCTGTCCATCTCTCACCGACCGTACCTGAACTCCAGGGTGATGGGGCCCTCCACGCGGTTCAGATGGATGTAGTAAGTTTCTCCGTACTTCACTATCTGCTCCGCAGCGCAGTCTGATCAACAAGACCAGAGGAAATAAAGGTCAAAGCAGGGTATTTGTGAAAGAGCCTGCAACTATGTCACGATGCGGTCAAAGTCAGTGCGTAGAAATCGACTCTGTTGTTGAGCAGAGAAACAAATAGGGAAATGGTTTTGAGGTCGGTTGGATGATTCTTTAAAAGGTTCTACATATGGGATTCAGATTTTATAGGACGACCCTGCTCTACCACTGAGCCACAGTATTTTCATAGCTTAGGGCCACTCTTCTTTTAGTACATCAGAAAAAAATGAAGTTGATGATAAAGTAGGTTTGTAATTCCTTCCACAGCTCTGTATTTGTTTATTTCCTGTATTTCTCTAGAAAAGACACCGAAGTCTTGTCTACAAGTTGTTTCTCTCCCACCGAACCAAACTGTCTTTAGACAGACAACCTCCAGCTGTCTGACGCCGTCCACACCTCTGGATAAGACCACAGCGGACCGCTTACCCTTGACAATGAGGATGAGGTGCTTGGCTGTGTTGGGGTTGTTGGTGTTCTTGATGACGTACACCCCCTCATCCTCCTCCTGCACGTCCTCCAGCACCAGGTGGCCCAGAGAGTTGATGCTGCCCCGTGGATTCACCACCTGGCCTGCTCGCAGCAGGACCACCTCAGAGAGGTGATTGGTCCTGGATTTGAACACGACCTCACTGAGGTTCCCAGGCGGGACATCGATGTGAATGTCCTCCCCAAAGAAGGCTGTCCTGTGCTCCTCTTTGACTGGAAGAGACAATCAAGATTCTTTGTTAGATATACGTATCTTTTCTCCTCGTGTACATATTTGGGTCATTCTTCTCAACAAGCATTTCTCGTTATTCATCGCAGTCCAAACAAACATACCTTTCAAAGATGCTGACACAACTGTGAAGGAAAAGATAGAGAAAAGTTTAAATACATCTTTTTCATGTGGTCTGCTGATTTGTACAAAGATATCTAAACAAGTCAGAGTTCCTTTGTTCTTATTGGAAAAAAAACAAACACTTCCACATAAAGCTCGACAGTGTTTGAAATGTAAATGCCTCGCTTAATGACAGCTAAAAATAGAAGACGAAACAAAGGGAAAGCAAATAAATGTAAATGAAATAGCTCACAAAGTAACTTCAACAGCTTCCTTTGGTGTTGTTTTTCACAGAATCTACGCTAATCATTCCGTTGAAACAGATTCTGCTTTGCAGGAAGTCTGTTTCAGCCGCTCCTTTATCCCAACCTGCTCCCCAGTGACTGATTATGTTTGTGCTTACCGGTGCAGAACAGGGCGCTAAGCACTGCAGCGCTGATTACCTTCATCTTGAATGGTCGGTCTCTGGGAAAAAAAGAAAACTCACACATAATACACAAACAATTTAAAAAAATAAGCCCTTTGGAGCATGATTACGTCTCCAAAGATTCAAATCACGACTTTCTAAAAAGAGACATCTGCCGTAATCATTTGACTTACTTAGGGTAAAGTTGTGCTGCTAATTTGGGTGATTAAATTGAGAAAAAAAAACCACCTCTGCAAAATACCAAGCATGCCAATTTCAATCTGTGTTCTCAAGTTGAAGAGAAGATCCCTCCCCCTCCCACTCTGCACCACCCCGCCCCACTAAACAGCATTTCACAAATTAGCTCTTCAAATACCTAAGGGGCAGCACTGCCAGCACTCTAGAGTGGTGCCGTAATGTAAAATTACTATTGAGCCAAGTTTAAGCGGAGAGAGCCAAAGACAAGGCGCTGTGTGGCGAGCTCAAGAGTAGCTCTCCACGTCTCCTGCGGTGCAACGAGTCAATCAACTCTCCACTCACGACACACAACCACAATCCAGAGAGGGACTTCAAGCAGGAAGAAAAGAATCAAAGAGAGGGAGGAAGGAAAGAGAAACAGTGAAGTAAGGGAGGGTATACTAGAGAGAGGAGACATAAATGCATACTACGAGTAGGTGAACAATGAGCTGGACAGCAGCCAGCTGGCATGAGGCGACTCTGACCATTCACGACTGAGCAGTGGTAGCATGGAGTTCTATAGGTGGGATAATTAAATGGAGAGTAAGTGTAAAAAGACAGAAAGCGACAGCTGGAAGGAGAAGATTTGAATGGTCTCTTCTTTAAAGGTTATCGATACAACATTCAGAGCATTAATATAGCAGCAAACAACTTGCTATGTAAAGATATAGTGGAGTGATGTCTACCTGAGCAGAGAATAAAAACACAGGTAAATGCTGTTGGCGCTGTCAGCACCGTTAGCTGCTAGACGCCGGCTCAATCGGCGCCGTGTTGTCAGCCGTGTGGAAACAATAGATATTAGCACCTTTAAGTACTCTTCTCCTTGCCAAGCCTGCTTAACTAGTTTTGAAAGAGTGTAAAATTACAAGTACAAACTATGAATTTTGGACGATGAATAAATTTCCCAAAACAACAACAAGACCACAAGAAAATGGCTATTTGCCATTGAAGAATGACATGTATTTTCTCAATTGTCTCTTTTCTAAGTAGATACTATTTGCTTTTCTCTGCCACAAAACTATTATTTAGGTACATAGTAGTATAAAACTCACATGTACTCTATCTTCCAACGTTACAATCTTTTTAGTATGAATTTTGCTCTTTGTTTTTCCGCCGACACTTTTCCCTCACTAAGCCCGCATCTTGGAAGTCACATGTTTGTTGCCAAGAAAACATGTTTAACAAACCTACAGGTGACTGCCAGGACAAAGACGTCTACTGGATTTAGGCGACCAAAAGAGTAGCAATTAATGAATACATGAAGTGGAAACACACTGTGAAAAGGTTAAAGTTCTAAGACGAAAACAACAAGGTAACAACCTGTCAATCACTGTGTAGCCCTGTCCTAAAGCATACATTGCTTTATGGTCTATTTGACTCTAAATGGACCATAATTTACTAAATGAACATCATGCTGTATTGAAGAAGACTTGAAACTAGAGATTGAGACCATGAACTCATGTTTACAATGTTTACTGAGGTAATAAATCAAGAGAGAGGTACCCTGTCATGGGTTAAAGGAGCGACTGAGCATTATACCCTTTCACTGTTCTGACTTTCTGAACCTTCTATATGTATACAAAAGGGGCTGGAAAGTTACTACAGTAAGTACATTTACTCAAGGACTGCAACTCTGAGGGACTTCACTTGGAGTATTTCAATGTTTCTGATAATTCTACTCCACTACATCACAAAGGTAAATTATGACCTTTTTATTCCTAAAACTTATTTGGTAACTTTAGTTATTTTGCAGCTCCAGCTTACTAAGACACAATATTATCAGCTAATATGATATATCATTACAGGTTAAGATAAACCTTTAATTGGTCCCCATCAGTATGTAAAGTCATTCAAATGAGTTCAGCAGTTTACCAGCTGCAACATGGTGCGGTGAACACATTAACAAACCAAACACTGTTTCTAGAGAGAGACATTCGTATTTTTGCCTCGGCCTCCGTACTTCAGTTAGATGCCACCAAAGACACTGGACCTTTAAGTAAGATTTTGAATGCAAGACTTTTACTAAGTATTTCTGCACTACTGCTATTTTAACTTTAGTAAAATATCTGAGTACTGCTTCCACCACTGCAAAGGCCTGTTGATGATATCTTTTGACTAAAATGAGATCACCTCCAGCTTAATATATACTGTATTACAGACTCCACCCCCTAAAAAGGTTATCAAATGTAAAGCAGGTTTTAGTTTTACTGCAAATTGTGAAGTATGCTAGTATGAAGTATCCTGTTTGTGTTCACTGCAGCATTATGGAACAGAGTGAATCACTACATCTTTAGACTCTGAAAGAGGGGACAATTAAAAAGCCATTGCATTTAAGCCATCTTCTTCCGATGAGAGATTAGAGTGCAAACAGGGAGAAAGCCCATCTCCTCTCACTGTGCACATCAACAGACACAAAGTCACTTCCGAATGAAGCCCAAGCATTAAAGTGGGCAGGAGAACTGCTCAAAAGGCTTTCAGTCCCTGAGCAGAACACAGTAATCAAGGCATCTTTTCTAATCAGTGCCTTGTCTTCTACACAGCCATTAGCTTTTTGCATGTGTGAGCGCTGATACTAAGGACCGGTTTGATTCTTTGATGGGGAGAACTGTATTCATCGGATGAGAAAATTCGAGGTTGTTGCTGGTTATATAAAGGTCATAGTGCATATTATTGAGCAGACGCACACAGGCACATACATTTCAAAACTGGCACAAGAAAAATGCATTCAGTGAAGTGCAGTCAAGTGAGTCATGGATGGCTTACTGACAGGGTACAGGCCCAGACACCCAGAGCATCAGGGGCTCCCTGGCCTTTACCTACAAACTGTCAATGGGACGCGAACCAACCAGGAAGTTACTCAAAGAAACATAAAACCACAACAGACACAAAAAGACTAGAGTCCAAAACAACTACAAAGAGATGCAAAACAGCTTCAAGGAGACATAATGAGACCATAAAGAGATTCACAACCACTTTGAAAAGGGCCAAAACAATCACAGAGAGACACAAAGCTCCGACAAAAAGACACAAGGATGCTACAAACGGACACAAATGAACTTCAAAAAGACACAAATTAGCTGCAAAGAGACACAAAATGACTACAAAGAGACCCTACACCACAGAGAGATGCGCACTACAGAGACACACAAGACACGACAAAAAGAAGCTAAACTATTATAAAGTCCGTCAGTCTTGTTCAGATGCAGGAGAGGTAGTGATGGGGCCTTTTGCATGTCTGTACCCAGGGGCCAATACAACTGAAAGCCAAATAGAGGCCTTTCTTTGACACATTTCCCCCCCTTACAACCCACTAACAAAAGTTCTGCTCTCCTAATGGGGGTTACCATGAACACAACACAAATTAAGACATGACCCCTCTGGTTTGAATTTGATCAAAACTTAAGGGATGATAATGCATTTGCCAAAGTTTTAGTACATTTAGAAACATTGCACAGGCGAGGGGAGTTGTAATTAAAGGTAACCATTCTGAATTGGTACTGTTCCACCACTGGGTGTCCTGGATAAAAGCATCAGCTAAGAAGCCCGAGATGTTGATGTAACCTTTGGCCATTTGTAAAGGTCTGACGGGGTCACTGCTCTCCTGTCTCCTGTTCTGACCACTTAGATAAACCGAACCGTAGGCGGCGCAGCGCTCACTAAACGACGTGTGACACATCGAGCAGTGGTGAGAGGTGCGGAGGTTACATCTTTCCGGCTGATCTCATCAGCCCAACATCCATCCAGACTGATGGACTTAAGAGCCTTTTCCCCCCTTCATCTCTCCTCTCCCACACAAAGCAGGAGGGCGGTAGCATCATGCCTCCATCCTTCTCTTGTTACAGTATTGTCTCTCTCATCTTCCTGCTTCTCTCTGTCTCTGCTCCCCTGTCTCTTCTTTTCTTAACGTCCTCTGAAACACTGCTCCCTTATGCTGCCTTATCTTCCCTTTGTTGTCTCCTTTTTTTCCTCCCCTTAATTACCTTCAAACGGATTCCTATTAGGGTCAGTGTGATTGATAGGCTGGTTTGCTTGTATACTGGGCTGTTTGTGCCCTAATATTAAAAACCCACAGCTTCATTGGGCTCTCTCTACCATCGCTGCTAACTGCTAATCCCATTAGCCTTGTTGTTCCTTACAGTTTCAGGTCCTTAGACTCCAGGTTCAAAATGTATCATATTTCTAATTATATTAATTTTTTAAGATGAACATAGTCCCATTAAGTTAATTCAACACTAATACCTTTAAGCTGAATATACTGAGATCAATGCTGCCTTAAAAGTACCCCCCTTCTCTGCATGAAGTCCATAAAGCCAGGAGCAGCATGCTGGTGCAGCCAAGGGTGTGTCACGACCGGCATGAAGCGAGGCTGTCCCGTTACGGGGGTGCAGGATGGAAGATGGTGGAGGAGATGAGATGGGGGGGGGGAGATGTTAAGGGGGTTGGATTTATCACCACAGTCAGACGCTCCAATGCGAGAGCCTGAGCATAATACTATTAGTTTGTATCTCGAGAAATGGAGGATGCATTCTACCTCTGTCTCTGCTGTTTCCCCCCCTGCAGACATCAGATGGGGGACGGTTTGGGCGCGTGCCGCGCCATGCCATCCATCAGTGAGCCTACATCATGCACTTAAAGAGCCTGCAGATATCAGGAGCTGCCCTCCTTGCTCGTTTGAGCTCATTTCGAAACGTGCTTCTCTTCTACGTGAAAAACGCTTCAGTCAGCGGCTCTAACGTGTGCCGTATAGCGTAGTGCATTGCGTAATCCTTTCCAACGGGATGGACCAGAAGATACCCCTCAATTCAGACGGGTTCACCCCGCACACAGGACAGGAAAACCCGAGTGGTGACAACGATTATTACCGGTATCAGATGTGTAAATCTAGAATATGTAAAAAATATACGGTGTTGCATTAATAGAGAGACAGTGTGAATTTACAGAATGAACACAGACTTGTGAGAAGGAAGGAGGCCATTAGGTGCACAAACAGCGTGTGTAATGTCTCGGAGCAATGCTGGGATTCCTGTCTGAATACTGTGAATTTTGCCGGGTAATAAAAATAAAAAAAAGTTCATCCCTTATCTTTCTCTTTATCTTTCTGTGTTATTCTGGCGTTGCTGTTGGTTACACACCCAAAATCAACCGTATCGTAGCGCGAGCAAATTGTCAAAACAGCAAAGGGAAAACTGCATAATTTAACCCACTATCGCCCTGTTTGGGCGAAATATTTAGGGGGGAAACACAATACCAATTGCTGTAATATATAAGTATAATTGGATGATGATAATTACCTTTGTCAAGCCTCTAATCCAAAAAAATACCGGACTGGGAGGGGCTCAGGAGTGGTGGTTCCTGGAGATCGCCTCTCGTTTTTTCCTCTTTATGTCGTAAGTCTCATCCACCCCATCACCCCCAGCCCGACAACACACTTCAATGGGGCCGGATCGGGAGCAGCTGAAGACTTTCGGTTAATGTCGGGTTTTGTGGATCGGCGGCGCTCGGGAACCTCCGGTAAGAGTCGTTCAACTCTGGCTCAGAGCCACAAGCTGCCGCTCTGCAGTTTTAATGTCAGGCGACCATTAGACGCGCACGACTTCTCCGAGCATCACGTTCACGTCTCTGGTGAAGCAGACCGTATTTGAAGGGGGGATCCTCTGTGACTTGTAGCATACTGCTTTTTAACATTACACAGCATTACATTCGCGAGCATGTCAGCAATATCAGCAGCAGTAAACTAATTACCTCGTTCCAAATTAGTCTCACCCACTCAATTCAATTCAATTTAATTTATTTTATAGCCTAAAATCACAAATCACAAATTCGCCTCAGGGGGCTTTACAATCTGTACACATACAACATGCTCTGTCCCAGGACCCTCACATCGGAACATGAAAAACTCCCCAAAATTACATCAGGGAGAAAAACAGGAAGAGACCTTAGAGAGCAACAGAGGAGGTGCAGGGCTGAGATCCTTCTTGTGGCACTGGCACTCTGGCACTCAGCGGCACTCTGTGGCACTTCAGCGGCACTCTGTGGCACTTCAGCGGCACTCTGTGGCACTCAGCGGCACTCTCTGTGGCACTCTGTGGCACTCAGCGGCAATCTGTGGCACTTCAGTGGCACTCAGCGGCAGTCTGTGGCACTCAGCGGCACTCTCTGTGGCACTCTGTGGCACTCAGCGGCAGTCTGTGGCACTTCAGCAG